ATCTAAGGTCATCACCATCTTTAAACACTTTTAAGCATAGAGCTATAAAGCACTGCTGTGATTCATACTTTTGGATAAAGAAAACAGATTTTAATGTATGCTATATTAGCGTATATCCTGGGAATTTTTATACTTTGCTATATTAGCATATATGTATGTAAGGCTCCTGCCATTTAACTATTCTTAGACCTTAAGTATGAGATTTATGCTTTCTGTGATATTTGATGTATTGTACTATGTAATTGCATGTACTATTTTCAGCAATTTCATAACTTATATTTTAGGTGTCATTTATGTTTAATTTATATTACTCTGTTTTAAGAAATACTACGTAAAATTAACACATTTTACTAATATAAAGGACCCTGAGGAAGATTAGCCTTTGGCTAAATTAGGGTTTTAACCCCCACTAAATAAAGTTTATTATTATTATTACTGTTTTTTTAAGTTGACAGCGGTAGATCGTGATATACCTAGGAGATGTCGGTTTTACTGGCCATGCCTAGCGATACCGGTGACGAGTAATGTCTACAGTATAATCACCATATACCATCGAAAATATCAAATCACTTTAATGTTATCCCCTGAAATGTTATCCCCTTAAATGTTATCCCCTTATTAAGGGCTTACATATTAAAGTTTCTGTATGTATTGAAATGAATCATTAGCAACTTACATATTATTTATTTCTATCTGTGTCAACGAATCATTCACAACATAAACAAAACCCTGGTTAATGATATGTGTATAGATCAAGGGAATACCTTTTTCATTCAAGCTCGGTAATAATGTGTTTATATAAATTAAGTGATGCAAGTTGTTCCGTAATTATCGCGTTCAAGTAACGACAGTTCTAAAGACCCCTATGCATGTCAGTGTTAGGTGATGGTTTTGTTGGTTTATAACACTTGATCATTTATCTACAGGACGGCATCACCACCAGTGGAAAAATATGTGACAGTTGAAGACTACCAACTAGCGCCTTCTCGGATGCAAGCACATCCACTGTACTCAAAACCAGCGTTGATGCCTCCACCCTCCGTCCATGAGTCTTTCTACGACAACAGGTCCTTTTCTGGAGATGCCATCAACCCAGAAGTCACATTGGATTTCCAGAACGGCAGTAAGTAATTCTGTCCATAAATTGTTATACATCATTATTGTACCTCATTCACTCTACACTAATGTCTGAGTTAGTTGTTTCTTTGCGTTTTGTCCGTCCGTCATCAACTTCTCTTCTATGGTCAGGATACTTGGTGAGTAGGTTACTAGGTTGAGGAATATCAGTTTGTTCAGATAAATGCCGTTGATCCACATTACAGGTCACGAGTGTAAACTGTGCTACATATGTTCAATTTCAATTTCAACAAATTTTATTGACAATATAAGCAATAGTCAATAGGATCAGACATCAGGCATAGCCTATCTAAGTCCTCTCCTTAAAGTGACANAACTACATATGTTCAAAATAATTCAAATGAATCATAAGGCGTAAGACTCATTAGCTTGAAAATGGTTAAGATCCATGCACATAGTCATATATGATTGCTGGCATGAAGAAAAAATACAAGTATACTACCATAGGGTAGCAACGGATTCTGGACCCGCCTTGTGGTACTTATTCCCAGCTAATTTCACTGAAACACGTTTGATCGTTACCATATTACTATATGCGTATACCGATCTCAACCAGATTTGCCATGTAGCATCCCTCTTGGCCTGATGTCGTAGTTAACTAGTAGCTTGCTGGAATGAATGCATATGGATATAAGCATTGATCAAATATAGGTGTACATTGTAAAAAAACACCTTTCTGTAATGAATCATTAGGCATAGAGTGGAGTTTTCTTGTGTAAGGGGCGATCAATAGAGTTTCAATAACATACCTTGACCGACAATTAAGGCCAACGGGGTCAAATGTGTTAAAATCTTAAAATGACTCGTCATAAGTAATGAACTGCGATACATATTGTTTTAACCTGTAGATTGCTAAGGCTAAAGTCTAACCACAATATGTGTATCTCTTTCTTAATTAAAAAAGATTCAGAGAAAAAAACAAAATGAAACCTATTAGAGGTAAATATTTGCCATCCTTACTCTCTTGCCAAAATGTTGTACCTTGTAATATTTTAAACAAAATACAATTTTGAACACTTAACCCGATGATGCTCATACCCAGTAAAATGGCATTCGTTGTATCCAATGTTGTTTGGAACAAGTGTTATTTGAGTGCTTTGTTTCTGCTACAATCCCGTTATCAACAAAAAGAAGATTGATGTATATCCCATATATCTCTTTGATATACTTTCAGGATAATCGAACTCTCTCTTTAGGATTTCTTTAAAGGTTGTTTTTGGGTTAAATTATCTTTTTTTTTTTTCTTTTTCTTTTTTGCAGCATCAGATCCTGCCTTTTACACTGCCTGAAATGGACTTTATCATTAGAAACATGTAAGGAAAGTGTTTGTGTGTTACCAGCACAAAGTTTCGTCGTGCCCAGGCAGTGACAAAGAACACATCAAGTATATGCAGCATTGTGTGTGTGTTTTGTAATTGCTTAAGCTGTCATTCTCATGAAGAAATGTAATTTATGTCAAGTTTTTTTAAAATATAGATCAGCTGTTACATTATGTATATGAAAATATGCTCTTTTTAACCCCTCTTCCCCCTAATCCCCTGTCCGTCCATTACATTTCCTGACGGGTTGCAATATTCAAAACAAATGATCGTAAAATTCGCAAAATTTGGATGAGGGTTGCGCTGTAGATGGAGAAGAAATATTTTGATTCCTCGCATGGTTCGTCAAGGCCAAGTTATGTTACTTAAACTAAAAATAAAACTGATATCAAATGCTGCCTGCTCTTGTGGCTATCGTGTTCAAAAGGTCGAAGGTTAGGTTTTAAATCAATACAAATATTTAATTAAATGTGCAATTGTATGGAAGAAACAATGAAATCCTCTTTATATGTGGTAGAATTATTGCATACTTTCATGTAGGTAAACACATATGGATCACTATAATGTTGTAGAAACATGTTGCTCTCCAGTGTGATATGCGTTGAGAAATGGCTATGTTAGGTTGCAAACACTCCTTCACTGACATTGTAATGTCTAATAGAACTTCACGGCCCTCCACAAGTGATGCCTCAGTGACTTTCATAATGCTGTCTACAAACACATCTCAGCCATCGACTGACAATGGAGTAGCAATGGAGTAGAGTCTGTACAATGCCATCACTCCACAAACACATCTGAGCCATCGGCTGACAATGGAGTAGCAATGGAGTAGAGTCTGTACAATCACATCACTCCTCAAACACCTACAACAGATGAATCAATGCACGCGAATCCTCCAGAAGCAGCGCTGCTTCCGTCAATCGTTTGTTCTTGTTGAGTTCGATGGTTCATACTGGTGTATTTTAGATTTATATATATACATTAACCTTAGCCTAGATTAACGTAAAATATTGCCTGAATAATAAAGCGATACATTATTTGCATAATAAAGTATGATTATTTCATTGTGTCCATTGGAAAATAAATAAAAATAATTACTAAATAAATGTAATCCTGACCATTATTTTAAATCATGTTAACCATTTTTATATGATAAAAATATCTAATATGTCCATTTTGTGCATTTTAAGACATGCATGTGTGATATTGGTACATCTTTGGCCTATATAGACAAAGGATAAGACATTCTTAAGAAGACGTTGAAATATTACGAATGTGGTGACTGCATCCTCCGACTAGGAATAGATTACTTAGTCCTGGTTAGTTTATTAACCTGAATTTATTGGTCCAGAGGTGGTTTAACAAGATGTTCGCCCTGATCAAGGGGTTGTTAAAGAGATAAGCTTTCGTTGTGTTGTATAAAAAGTCTACAGCTTGTATGATACACCGCTACTTGAGTACGGTTATTCGTTAAGGTAGGGGCTCGGGTTGTGTTGTGTAAAAAAGTCTACAGCTTGTATGATATACCGCTACTTGAGTACGGTTATTCGTTAAGGTAGGGGCTCGGGTTGTGTTGTGTAAAAAGTCTACAGTTTGTATGATACACCGCTACTTGAGTACGGTTATTCGTTAAGGTAGAGGCTATGATTGTGTTGTGTAAAAAGTTTACAGCTTGTATGATACACCGCTACTTGAGTACGGTTATTCGTTAAGGTAAATGCTCTGGTTGACATCATTGTCTCTGCCTATGCAATACAGATAACGCTGATTAAACTTACTACCTATGCAAACTTATTAATGCATTAAACTACTGTAAATGAAATATTAGCCCCAGCGAATCCTTGCAATCTAATGTATCTGAGTACAGGTAGATCTGATCGACGTTACATGTATGCTATATTTTTTGTTTTATTTGTTCGTTTGTACAATTTATATACTATAACTACAGAATGTAGAATGAATATATATCTATCTCTCTCTATATATCTATAGCTATATATCAATTTGAATCTCGTAGAATTAATCGGGTATCATAAAACCATATATGAGCAAAAATGATTATATACTGAACCCCCGAACGTAAATAATTAGCAGTATATTCAAGTGTTCCTTATTATGTTTTATTCAGCTTTAAATAAGTAGCTCCTGGCCTGTCTCTACCTAGAACATCCTTATAAAAGTGAACAAAACTAATGTCGTAATCTGCTTGTAGTACTAGCCCAATGCGAGACTACGCACACATTTAACTAAGTCGCCAACAGTTTGTAAAACGAAAACATCATCAATATTCCTACTGTAGAGATTTGTATAAATAATGAATTGAACAAAAATATCAAATGTGTGAAAAGCGAAAAGTTGTACTGACCGGATATAATATAAATATCTGTGGTGTTTTGTAACTTGTATGTGACCAACTTTCACTAACCAGATTAAGGTCAGTTATGTAACGCACTCTATAACGTACAGATATTATAAGTCCAAGGGAGACGTAGACCTTGTGTAGCCCCTTCAGATCGGGCAAATAGGAGACAGGCTGTGTTGTCCACAGAGCAAAGGAAATCCTTAGATGTTCACTGTAGAGTTGTACAAATATTACACAGAAATATTATAGGTATCCATATACTTTGTAAATATCTTGTTAGATTATTATATATATATGATTATTATGGAATGTAAACAGTATCATATCTAATATCTTATGCCAAGCATTAAAAAGCTGTCTTGAAATCAAAACTATTAATGATTTTTGTACAAAGAAATTGTAATAAATATTTTTGTTTGGAATCGTGTGTTGTGTCATTATTGAAAACAAAATAACAAAGGAAGCTTTTACATGTTGGATTGACATTTACAAAAATGCATTTAACGCTAAGGCTATCCTGGATAATGCTGTAAAAAACAAATATATATAAGGTAAGTCTACCCTGTTATACATAGTTTAATTCCCTACGGTTAGTTAACGACGTCCCTCCATGCGTGTACTGTATATATGTGTGTATGTGTGCTGGAGGCGGTGGTGAAAGCTAACTCACTGAAATACCATGTTGAAGGCACCCACCACTTTATTCCACTCGGTCTTAGCCAACTACCGTTTTAGGACTTTGGTATGTCCTGGCATTGGAACAGAAACCAATGATGTCCTCGTAAGGGGCGGGCGTTCAACACTGGCAATGTGAGGTATTGACAATCAAGGCGCTAGGAAACAAAAGGTTGTTAGGAAGTAAAGCGACGTGTTTCCACGTACAGGGTTCAAAAGCTAATAACAAATCTCATTTGTATATTATCATTCCAAATGCTGCAGGGTATTCCCTACACTGCCACCCCAACATCCCCGCTGTCTTTCTCAAAGCATCAGTTTTATCACCAAGGCAATATTGCGGCCGACCGGTTGCGCCATCATATTATATTTTGCCCATTAAAAGACTGCATCTAGAAACTTCGCCAAAGATTCCGTCTATAATACAAAATAATGATCTAATCGTAACAAATTGTATAAGTATAATGTATGACATTAACTAGATGCATTTAATTCATAAAGCAAAAATGAAAATATCAAAATAGAATTCAGCATGTAACATTAAAAAAAGTATTGCTTTGCTCATAATTAAATACTAGTATGTAATAGTTTGTCCTCAAACCCAAAGTTCAAACAAACGATAAATATATATACAAAAAGAGAGAAAAACTGCTTGTTCTTCTCACAGGTGAGTATATGGAGATTCATTTGTCGAGAAAATTGTAAGAAAATGTGTCAAATCTCCAGAATAATGGCATATATTTCCCCTGAATATATCACAACTGAGTATAAAGCGAACAAGGCTGACTGAGATTGGAAAAAAGCATGCGAAGCAAGTGAGATTTTACCTGTACACCATTCACTACAGGTTCCCACTCAGGTAAATGGTTTGACGTGTATCAAAAGTCTTGTTATCTTGATGAATTATTGTAAAATATCCAATCAAAATACATGTCATCATTCTCAAGATTTGAAGCATTTTCTCACATTTTTCTCGACAAATGCATCTTCCTGGTCATCCAACCTTATGATATTTACAAGTTTAAATGTTTTTTTCACTGAATTGTGATTTTTATTTAGATTGGAAAATGAACATATAAAAAGTGAGTTTTTCATCAGTCATTGAATGTTTTTTCCTGAAATTTAGTGTTCATGTACCTGACTTATGTTTGATAAATATTGGAGGAGGATCATTTTGTGACAGGGATTGTTTAATGTTAACGGAATGCAATACTGAATTTGATATACAGTTTGGTGTGGCAGCCATATTGGAATGTCCTTAACTGCCATTTTGCCTCAAGTACAGACTATCGCAACAATGCAGGTCGATTGGGGCTATGGACAAGTTAATGGGGCTATGGACAAGTTAATGGGGCTATGGACAAGTTCATGGTCGCCATCCTGATCCTGTACTTATTAGTATGCCTTATTGCTTTGGTGTCGCTTTTCTAGCTAGTTCTCGCTGTGAGGACAAGGCGATACTTGGATGTTACTAGTTTACAAGGCAGCAGTCGTCGAGGAAGCCGAACAAGCTGATTACTACACCTTGTCCAATTCTCCTTGTATTTTCGAGTTAGAATTATTATTTTTACTCTGGTTTCTGGTATTAATCCAAAACTTGTCAGGAATTGACTTGAAGAGTCATGTTACTGTGTCTGGTTTGTTATGTAAACATTTGGCCAACAATTAGAGGAGTCTTTATGGCTAAAAACAAAACTTACAATAGGTCGTATCGTTTTGATATAAAGTATTAGATAAATAGAGATCAAAAGTTAAATATCAATACATAAATTATGTAATTGACAAAAAATCACCTTACATAGGCTTATATAGGTCTGTACACCAGACATGTTAATGTTACACTATACATAATATTATGCACAGCAATTTATTAAACATAAAAAAAGGAAATATATTGAAAGATTTCGTACAGCGTAATAAGCATGTCAAAATACATACAGTCTACGAAGAGAAAGGCCATTTAAATGTGCCGTCAAAACTTAATGTTAAATACTTTTTTGTTATTTACTACAGGGGTGTTGACAGTGCACGGATTTCCTTTTACAGGTGTAATCGTCCATATTTAGCGTATAAAATGTTAATATGAGATGTATTTCTTATCAAGTGGAAAATCGAGCTTTGTAAACACGAGCTGTACGGGGACCGGACAGGCACATTCGACTCGCCTGTGCAACCGAATGATTTAATATGCATATTTAAATGTTAATTTTCGTATATTGGAAAGGAATGTTTTCTGTTCATTTTAAATCATCACGAGTGGAGAACAATGTTCCACTGTGTTGATAACACCGTCGATAAATCAGGCCAGCATTCCAGTTGTCCGCCTGTAGTTAGCGGGGTTCGGGAGGTACATGTACGTAACTCGACGACTCTCCCAAGACTTCTCATTAGATAGAGAAGTAAAAGCGTATGGTCCTGTGTCATTTCCTGTTAACATAAGGACAAATCTGATCTGATATTGCTTACAGTTAGGCACGTAAACTTGAAAATTTGATCGAAATAATTGTTTTGCAAAGATATTTCTATTGTTTAGGTCAATGGCTTCTGAAATGTTAACTTTAACAACCTATTAACGGGCCAATCTTCCTTATAAGTTTTATATCTTTTCTGTACAACCGGAATATGTTCTGACAAAACCGAATACTAACGGTAAGCTGTTTGATCGGTTCCAGTATCCAAACTGACCAATGACAATGTTGAAAAACAGTGGTTCCTGTGTTTTGCTGATGACCAAAGAGCTAATCTGAAAGTTAACATGTCAATTATATGGTTACACTTTCGCAAGATTCACTTTTATCTCTAAGCAAATCATAACTCATAGATAACAGGTATACGAGACTAGTCAACTCGTATAATCCGCAAGGTGGCGCGTACAAGGGCTTAGACTTTGCCTGTATGACAAGACCCAAGGGTGCACAAAAGATATGTGATAACAGATGTAAACAGCCGTGTCCCCGACCAGCGCCTTCGATGTAAACAGCCGTATCGGCGACCGTCCCCTTGGATGTAATCAGCCGTGTCCCCGACCAGCGCCTTCGATGTAAACAGCCGTGTCGCCGGCCGTCCCCTTGGATGTAAACAGCCGTGTCCCTGACCAGCGCCTTCGATGTAAACAGCCGTGTCGCCGACCGTCCCCATGGATGTAAACAGCCGTGTCCCCGACCAGCGCCTTCGATGTAAACAGCCGTGTCGCCGACCGTCCCCTTGGATGTAATCAGTCGTGTCCCCGACCAGCGCCTTCGATATAAACAGCCGTATCGCTGTTTTGGTTTTATTTTGTTTAACGTTCTTCTTCATAGCTAATGTCATTTAGGAACGTCCATATATGTGTGTAATGTATACGTGCGTGTGTACGTGTGCTGGAGGCGGTATGTTGGTATATTTGCCTCCTTGCGATAACGCGGATCTCATCCGACTGTATAGAGTGCTACCTCACTGAAATAACATGCTGAAGGCACCCAGCATAGTATTCCGTCCATTCACATTACACTGACGCTAAATGCTGAATATTAAGCAGGGGCGGTAATGGTATGGCCACAAGCCTGGTTTTATATCGTCAAAACACATTATAGATTTTAGTGAGGAAATGATACAACAAAAGATTTATTGAACATGTTCAGAACTCATTTGAAGGAAGGTGAGCACTGAGCAAAACATTTACAAGTATTTTAGTATCTTCAAAGCTTACTTGACAAAGTACTTAGATGAACGATCCTTGAGGAACCTCATATCTGTCGCCTTTTTAAGACATGTAGCGGAATACAGCAGAACCCAATATCTGTCGTGTTTTTTACGAAATGTAGTAGGATACAGCAAAACCCCATATTTGTCGCCACTCACTTATACATTGTGATACCGCATAGTTGCGTTGAGAGTTATTAACTAGTTCAGGTTGGTAGCTTAAAAAAGGCTTCAGAAATACAGTATACGCAAATATTTAAGGGTATAAAAATGTGCAAGTGGATTTTTTTTAGAGCACATGAGTGTAACCGGAGAGGGGAAATGAACAGGCTGACCGGGATACGAATCCGGGACCTTCAAACTCTGGACTGATCCTCTCACCGATTGAGTTACTTGGTAGCAAGCGATTGATGCTGCTTTTAATTCATCCCTAACTAAATAATTGCAACTGTGTAATAGAGGCATACGTTACACGGTAGACTTTTCTTTCTTTCTTTTCTCAAATTATTTCTACATTTTAAAAACTGTTTCGTATTCCCTGAAACATTCATGCACTCTGTCATGTCTCTTGTACGGTCTTGTATAACAACTCAATGACTAACTCGCTACGACTTAGGGTTCAACGTTACTCATCCCGGTGCAATGGTGCGCGTATGGTTCACAAGTAAAGAATGAAATAAATCAAAATATCATAAAAGTTACCTTTTCATATCTGATGCTTTTGCAACGATGGTGACGGGTTCGTTTGTCACCACGCCCACTTGCACCGAATAGCTACATCTGGACACGGGTGGGCGACTAGCACCGTGCTTTGGAAGTGTCCTCA